GACAGTAAAAAAATATGTTATAAGATGTACTATTTCCAAAACTTAAAATCCATTTTTTCCTCAAATCCATGCATCTTGATGTCGAGATGATCAATTCGAGGATATTTGGGCATCAAAACAATCTCTTCTAGTGAAATTTTAGAGGTAGGCTCTAATTTGATTGTTTAGAGCCTAGGCTCTATATAAACTTTTCCCTTTTTTTAAGGATAAAGTTTACATAGAGCCGAGGCTCTAAACAATCAAATTAGGCCCACCTCAAAATTTTCATTAGAAGAGGTTGTTTTGATGCCCAAATATTCTCAAATTGATCATCTCGACATCAAGATGCATGGACACGAGAAAAAAATGGATTTCAAGTCTTGAAAATAGTGTATCTTGAAACGCATTTCTAGATTGTCAATTTTTAAGATTTTAAGATTTTCATATATCTGCTTGATCTATATTATTTTTTAAGATTTAAGTTTTATAATTAAAGATGACAATATATTTTAAGACTATAATAAAGATTTCCAGTATTGAAACCACATTTCTCGGCACTATTAGAAGGTGAGATTTACTTTGATTGTTTAGAGCCTCGACTTTAGACAAATTGCATTCTTTTTTTAATTAATTATATTTTGTAAAATATATATAAATAAAAGTTTATATAAGGTTGATACCTTGAAAAATAAAAGTAAAGTGCACCTCTAAAATCCTTCGAGAAAAGTTGTTTTGATGTTGGAAAAATATTTAGTCAGTCATATCGACACCACGATGTATAGTTATAGGGAAAAAAAGAAATTTAAGTCCAAAAAATAGTTCATCTTGCAACATATTATCTTGACCGTCTATTTTTAATATTTTATTATGTTTATAGATCTGCTTGATTTGAACAATTTTTTTGAGTTTAAAATTTCATAATTACAGTTAAAAATAGATTATCAAACCATCTTAATAATTCTCGACGTTAAAGTTGCATCTCGTAACAAAGTTTGGTGGTGTACCGTAGTTTGATTGTTTAAAGTTGCAACTTTATGCAAACCACACCCCTCATATGGAACCCTTTTACTATCTATAAATATCTCTCATCCCTTTGAAGTTGTAACAACATAGTATAAGAGATTGTGTACCATGAGACCATTCGTCTTTGTTGCAAAGAGGTCACAATTGCCCCCAGCAATTAGATGTCAAATTGAAGGGCTTGGAATGTAACACAATGTTCGAGAATTTTATTTTTAATTAAATTATTTTAATATAGTCTTTCACGATCACCGGATTTAAAATCTAACAGAAAAAAGTGATTGTGACTACCTTGTATTAAAAATAGATGGTCTATTTCTATATTTTTTCATAACAATAATTAAAAAACAAAAATAATGTTAAAATATTTTATATTACTATAAGAGTATACTGTCTATTTACTCCCGAGCAAGCTTTCTATGCTTCCCCTCCAGCATAGAAGTTTTATCCTCCCCCTTATCCAACCGTCCATTCTGAATGGAGGGCTAAGATTGCCCCAATCACAATGTCACGTATCTACACTATTTTGTTTTTTATTTTTTTTCTATAAACTATTTTGATACCAAATTTTGAACGTCCATTCCTCTATTAAACTTATACTAGAAAAAAATATATAAAAAAAATAGAATGACCAAAATACTCCTGAAAACTTCAGGGGTATTTTGGTCATTATATTTTATAAAAAAATTAGTTTTAATATTTTTTCTAGGTGCTGTCCAATGAGAAGATGACATGTACCAGATTTCAGATTCATACAATTTGTATAAAAAAAATAAAAATAAAATACTTTGTGACGTCGGATCTAAGATCAAACTGTGTGTGGCTCTCTTAATCAAAATTGGACAGCTGGATGGTAGGGAGAAGATAGAACTTCTATGCTGTAGGGAAAGCATATAAACCTTTTCCTTTACTCCCATAGGTAAAATCCAATACAATAGTGATTTTGAGATCAATATTATGTCATTAAACCTTGGCTTGGTATTTTACCTATTAGTGATCTTAAAATCAAAATTGGCCATTGATCATCATCCCTTGGGTTCTAGCCCAATTTGGTGATTTTTTAGTTTGATTAAGTTATAACTAAAAATAAAAATAAAAAAAACTAAGAAGAAGAATTGGGGCATTTCTGGTTTTCCTCAAACGGCCACATCATGATCCTGAGTAAAATCTACAATTTTTAAAAGGAAAATGACTTTACAAGTCTGCAGCGCTATCAAAATAAGTAAAGCCTCACCTCATAACTCATCCAAAATTACAATTAAAGCATTGGAAAACCTCTACATCGATCATCTCCACTTGAACATTATGGAAAACCTCTACATTGATCATCTCCACTTGAACATTATGGTTGTTAACAAGATTATGATTTCAAGCTCTAAAAATAATATATAGTGTAACATAATATTTAAACATTCTATTTCGCCTTAAAAATAAGTGTTCACATATCCACAAGATCTGTACCTTTTTTTAGTTTCAAAATTATTGTTGGTGTTGGAAATTGTCTTTAGAGCCATCATGGAGAGTCTTTTGCCCAAAGTTATTTGAGGTGCAGCTTTATTTTGTTTTCATAAAGCCTAGGGCTTATAAAAACCTCATCCTTTTCAAAATCATTGTTATCAATTCTCTAAAATTTTAAGTTTATCTTTCTCTCTCACATAATTGTTAATAGGAATTAAATTGAGTGATAGCAATAAATTTCTACCTAGTTGTTTGAGGGTAGATGTGACCATTATTAGGTCTATTCCATTATTTCCAAATGTTCACTGGAGAAAAAGGAAAAAGGAAAAGTGAAGGTGACTTTCTTTTATTAAAATTCATAATTTTAATTGTTCTTTGGAAAATGTCATTATGGTTAAAATTATCAAAGTAACTTTAATACTATTAACATTTTACCCATTTTCAACTATTGAAACTCATCATTACTTGTGTTGCGATAGGATTACTTGTGTTGCGATAGGATTTGAATATAAATTATGAAAAGTTTATGCTAATATCCTCATCATTACGTGTATTGTGATAGGATTTGAATATAAATTATGGAAATTTTACGTTAATATATTTATTTTTAAAATTTTAAAAATCTATTATTAATGTGTTGTAATTTAATCTCATGTCCCTATTTTTTTATAGGGAAAAGTTAATATGGAGCCGAGGCTCTAAACAATCAAATTTGAGCCAACCTAAAAAATTTCACTAGGAGAGGTTGTTTTGATCCTTAAATATCTTCAAATTGATCATCTTGACATCAAGATGCATGGACATGAGAAAAAAAATTGGATTTCAAGTTTTAGAAATCGTGTATTTTGTAACCTATTTTGGATCGTCATAGATCTATTGATCTACACTATTTTTGAAGCTTTAAACTTTATAAATAAATATAAAAATATATTTTAAGGCTATAACAAATATTTTCAATATTAAAACTACATATCCCAATACTATTTGAAGGTCGGCTCTAATTTGATTGTTTAGAGCGTAGGCTCTATACAAACCGCGGCCCTATTTTTAAATTCAAACCGAAAACCTACAGGTGGTGGGGATGGGTTTGGATTTTGAAAAGTCAAATGAACTATCTGTTAGGGTTTTGAAAATCTAAAAGAAATATAATTTTTGAACTGATTTATTAATACTCTCCGCTGGGATTTTGAAAGTCCGAGGCAACGGTGTTAATAAATCAGTTAAAAAATTGAAATTCCCAACTGGTTTTTTAGCTTGTAGTTTGGTTTGGATTTTCAAAATCCGAACATATTTTTGGTTTGAATTTTCAAAATCCAAACCCATCCTCACCCGTCGGTTTTTGGTTTGAATTTTTAAAAAGGTTCAGAATGAATTATTCGAACCAAAATGTGGACAGCTAACCGGTTTGAAATTACAATTTTAGAACCAATTTGTTAATCTTTTTGGTTTGGGTTTTGAAAGTCCAACATTTTGGAAAAATTAAAAGAATAAAAAAATGAGGACATTTTTTTTTTTGGGGTTAGTGGGAAGGGAAATTGAGAGGAAGCATTGCAAATCGTAAAGCGCTAACCAATTAAGCTCGGCTCTTTTCTTAAAAAAAAAAAACAAGAAAAAAAGAACATAAGTTGCAACATATTTGGGATAAGTACCCTTTAAATTGAAAGTGATAAATGATAAATAGTACATTTTGACAAATTTCTCTTTTGAGCATGTATACTATCTCCTTCGGGAGCATAGTTTATTTTTATTATGTAGGACTTGGGAAGATTTTTTCAATCTCAAATTTTGGAAACCACTTAAGAATTACTAGTTGATTATTCTTAAAACAAAATTGAAATTTGAGTCTTTGTAACACTTAGATCTCACCGTCTAAAATTAGATGGTCTCTATTCAATCTAAAAACATTATTTTTGCTTGAAAAAATGAGGGTAAAATGAAAATATTTTTTATTTTATTGAAGTTGATCTATGGATAGAAAATGTTACATCCACAAAACTTGGGGTCCTAAAATTAACTCTAGGTGGGATTTTAGTAAGGACGTGGTTTCTATGGGGCCAAGCCCGCATATGTAGAAAGAAATACGGGCCTATTAATAAATCTACTTTTGAGATCAATTTTTGGACTTAATTTTATTAAAGATATGTAATTTCTAGCATGGAGATCATGAATATAAAAAAAATAAGTAAATTTTAAGAGCTAGAAATAATAATTAAAATAAAAAAACATTTAGAACGTTAGATTCTATTATTTTTAAATGGAACACCTACTTGCATCCATCTTTAAGATGAATGCCTCATACCTTTTTGAGACCGCATATGTATTTATGCGGCCCAGCCCGCACGAAACAATTTTCCTTTGACAAAAATCCCAGGGGAGTAGAATGTCTTTAGGCTTCTCCTTTTTATAGGGGTGATATTTCGGATATTGTTCACGAGATAAAGGGGTAATATAGTCATTCTCTTTCTAAAAGTCCGTTCGTAGTCGCTCACATTCCTAACGGCCAAATCAGCTTCAAACAGTTGCTGAGTCGCCAATTCATACGGCCCCTATTCCATTTCATTACAAAAATAACGAGAACTATTATACTAAAAAAAAAGAAGAGAAAACTAATCCCTCTCTCTCTAAATTTGATCTCTGCAAAACCCTAACCGCCACGAAGTACATTGCGGCATTCATGGCGTTTTTTTCTAGGGTTTTATATTTTTCGATCCTCCGGTCAATCTAGAGTTTGATTTGATCCTTTTGTTACTGTCATCTGCTCTCTCTCTCGTTCAGTCCTTTTTCTGCAATTTTCTCTCACTTTCAGTCCTTTTTCTGTAATTTCGGAACGTTTTGTTGGCTTTTGCTTAGTAATTCGGCTTTTGAGATATATATGTATATATATAAATATATATGACGGGTCGACGGTGATCGTACTGAGCTTTAATGGCGCCTCTGGCTTAGGGACCATCGCTTCAATGCATGCATTTTAAAGGCGTTCAGTAAGAATTCAAGGGCTTCTTTGCTTTTGGCCTTTTATTTGTGTTTCTGAGATCTCTTGGACTGTTGTACAGTGCTCAGCCCATTTTTTAATGGCGTACCTGGTTAATGGAAAATCAGACAACCTTTGGTGCTTGGAAATATTTTTTAGGTTTTACATGTGAAGGTATGTGGTCAACGTGTGTTCGTTAAGCATTTGCAGAGGGATTTTAGCTCGTCTTAAGCAGTGGCTAAGACTCATCTGAAAAGTTTTGCATCTTTTTACAAATGGTGATCTTCGTAGTATGAACGAACTTTTCAACCTTATTATTTAAGGTACGCTAAATGGACAAAGTGGAAATTTGATCACATCTAGTTGTGGTGTTTCTTTTGAAATCAAAAGGAGTGTCCAATCCTTTGTACGTGACCACAGAGCAAATTGTCAATGTTTTGAAGTTGAAGACTGGTTACTGATGGTTCATGAAGATCTAGGTTTTATCAACGTCTCCAAGTGCTAGTGTGATATTTGGTTTCTTCAAAGTGAAAGTGATTGATTTTTTAGTGTTCGGACTTGTGTTATGGCCTTCTCTGTGATCACAAGCATTTGGCATGTGAGCTTCTGGTACAGGCATTATGAGATCCTTTCATGGCGAAAGAGTATTAATCTTCAGTGGTTATGATAAGGTCTTGTGATAATTGGAATTTTATTTTTATGGCATGAAGCTTCGAACTGGGGTCTTATAGTTTTTGTTCTGTTTTGGTATTCTATGGGTGGAGTCAGGATTCGAGGGTGGAAGATTGGTAAATTGAGTCTTTCAAAGGAAATATTTGCTTCTGTTATACCTCAGAAGCAGACACAACAGAAATGGAAGTTGCAGAGAAGGACTATTTCAATGTCTTTAATGTGTGGATTATTGCTTTTTATGTTTGCTCTGGTTTCGTTGTTTACAAGTCCCTTGGTTGACCTTGAGAGGAAGCCACATCATTTTGCAAAGCAGAGCCCCTATTTCAAATTGGTAGATATCAGTGAAGATATTCTTTTGCTTGTAGTTGATGACTGAAACAAATTTTACTTTAGCTTAACTAACAAGTTCATTGTATTTATAACTTTACTTTTTAAATTGTTTATTCTTTTTAGGCTGCTTTCACTATCTATGAATTTAGTCCTTCCTAATTATCTTTTATACATGCCGTTAAGTCAAAACCTGGTTTATGTTGATACGAATTGGTGCTTATATGGAAAAGGGGCTACAAAAAAGTTTTTTTTTTTTTGACTAAAATCATCCTGTATGGTTTGTAGTCATCTACCTCTTCTGTGGTTGCTTTTTTTGTTTCGCTTGTGCCGTCTAATGTTTGATGGGAAAGGTTATTTGATGCCTTCTACTGTGAAACGGAAAACAATGCTTTTGGATATTGTAGCCATACAACATTCATATGGAAACCAATATGTTTTTTTTTTTTTTGAGTGTTAAATTTGTTCTTGTTGTGTATGGAATGCTAGGCATCACGTTGTGGCACCTGTTTCCTCCTTCTCTTTATGCATTGCATAGTTTCATATAGCTTAATTTTGAACTTCTTTTCAAGAATGAGAGACTATAACTATGGCTGCTTTTGAACGTCCCCTATCCCAACCTATCTTTACCTGCAATTTTGGGAATCTGTGAAAATAGGTTCTCATTACTCGGTATGAACACCCTTGGCAAAATTATTGTCTTGTGCTGCTTTTGGCAAAACCCGCTATTGGCAGTGTATTTCTGATATGCTGGGTTTCATTCCTGAAAAGTTGCCTGTGAATAGTGGCATGCCAGCTTGGCAAGCCCCCTTCTTCAGGAAACTTTAAGGGAGTGTTATTCCTAACTGAAATCGGGCCTTAATCAATTCCAGAAAGAATTTTAAATAGGATTAATTAGGAGTGGACTTCAGTAGAAACAAGGAGATGGTGGTCTGATCAATTCTTCCCAAAAACAGAGATATGCGTCAAGAACTTGGGAAGGAACTCTAATGAACATGTGTTAAGTGATATACCGCTTAGATAATCAGTGTGCCACCCTGTTTCCCTGGTTGGGTACATATAATATTGAAACTGCTATCATCTTGCATAGCTCAATGGCTCTTTGTAAGAAAATACGCCAATCTCCACGACATTACAAGCTCTGGGTTCACCCACCTAATAACATTTAGTTAGTCGTGTTTGGCAAGCAAAGGCTGCCCTAATTATTGTTGAAATGCCCTGCTAATCCCTTATGAAGAAGTATGGCTAATCTCCATGATGGCATGACTGACTCTCATCTCACATATCTAATATTGTTTCATGAGTCACTGTCATAATAAAGCGCTGTGAGTGGTTAGAGTGAAAGAAGTTTGTGGCTTACAAAGAGAGCGAGCCATAGACATTTGGTTCCATGGAGCATGGTGGCTGAGAGATCCGATGAAGGCATTTTTATCATAACATTCAATAACGTTAACCACAGTAGAAAGTTGAATATTCTTGAAGGAGATATATTTGAGATTAGATGCCATATGTGATTAGTCTCCTTAGGGTGTGTCATGCTTCTTTATATATGACATATCTATGTTTGCGAGCCAATTTCCTTGCTCTAATACCATGCAAACTAGGAGGTCATAAAACCTTCTTTGCATGTGTTTCCCTAAATGAAAAGATGCCTGAAAGATTCTAGGATTACTTATCGTCACTCCATACGATGATGATTGGGCACACCTTTTAAGACCTGAGCAAATTGTCCCTTTCCTAAGTGGCTAGCATGCAAGGAGGATAACAAGATATCATGCACACTGACATGGGTGTTGCTAGAAATGAAAGTGTAACTATTGATCATCAGAGTATTTCTTTGCACAACACCAAAGGTCCATATCATTCCATCCATGATAATTTTGTGATGTCATAGGTTGTGAGGGTGTCATTGCAGTTGTGAGATTCAGTGGTAGATATATGTTGCCATTTCTCTGGTCTCTAACTACGTTGGAAACATGTTAGGGGTATGAGATGCGTGACTAGAAGTGTGCCTTCCCAACATTTTGGGCAAAAGAATCCTTATGATGACTTCTGGTTTATGTACAAGAGCTAAACTGGACCTGAACTCTCCCAACCCCAGACCTCCTAACACCTTCCCCCTCCCCCCACCTCCCAAAAAAAAAAAAAAAAAAGTACACTCTTCATTTTGTTAGAGATACATGTATTGACATATGTGCTGCATTTCAGTTTTAAGTGTATTATTGCTTGTCTGCTTGGAATCAATATATCTTTTAGTTATCGTTTGGATAGCTATTGTCATTTGATTTTTGGTTGATATTTTGCCTTGTATTTTAGATTCGTAGCATGGGTGTGATTTTTTGTTGTTTAATATCATATTGGTTATTTTTACACGACATGGAGTTATACGTTTCTAGAACACCTGGCACATTAGCGGCCCTGGTTTATTTCTTTTTAGTTGGTCTTTCTTACTTGTTTTCAGAATAGGGGCATCTGTGTTGTTTGTTTAGTAGTATTTACATGATAAATGGGGGTATTTATTGTGTTTCTTGTTAAGAAGGCCGAGTTTTGCTGTCTTCCACATTTTGAATGAGAATTCTATGTGAGCGTTGACCGAGGGATACGTTGTTTCATCTTGTGATAAATGTTATTACTTTTATGATCTTAGTATTTTCGATGAAACTAAGCATGTAGTGAGCTGACTGTCTTTGGGCATATTTCAGCAGAAGAAAGCTTTGAAACGTTTAAGGGCAATTTTGCGTAATTCAAGTGGTGTGCCGGTATGACTGAAATATATGAATAAATGAAGGAATTATTACTACTGAGTGCAGCTTTTTTATCACTTCTATTTGGTTTCTTACTTTGTTGAAACTCTGATAGGGTCGCCGTCGAGATGTGTCGATTGATTTATGGAAGTCACATCATTCGGACCTTTTCTATGGTTGCAGTGAGAGAGGCCCTCATTTTTCTTGTAAGCTCTCATCATCACTTGTAGTGTTGTTCACATTGGAAATTGCATGCATGGTCTCCTGAGGTCCTGAATCATTTTCAAATGATTATTGAGAAAAGAATGCTCTCACTTATTTATTGGAAAAAGAAGACTGATGTTACTTTGCATTGGCCTCCATTGATGTAAATTTTTTAGCTTTCTTAAACCGGACTTGGTTAAGGATTATGATGCTGTTGACTGGTTTGTCTTTCTTTCAATAATTGGGAGGTTTTCTGCTTGGAACATGCAAGAAATCACAACTTGTTTTCTGGGTAACTTGCGTCTGCATGTCTTAGGGAACATTTTTGCAATCCAAAGGAAAACCACCACTTTCCAAGTTCCTTTTTGGGTAACTTGTGTCTGCATATTCTTAGGGAACATTCTTGCAGTCCAAAGGACAACCACCATTCTCCAAGTTCAGGACCTTCCAACTGCACTTGAGCCCATCAGGGCTTATATCATCTATATAATGTAGCAAGCACTCTCTAAAAGCAGGGTAAATCTAAGTGGTTTGCTTGTGCCTTGTACTTTAGTGCCTCCAAAATATGTGCCCTTAACCTAATCCCAAGAAAATGGGTTCTTCTATGGGGAACCTTAGTGTGGAGGCAATTTTTCACTTGTTTGGGGCTGATACTTTTGATAAGTGATGCATACAAGTGCATGAAAGGCATGTTGTCATTAATACTCCTTTTGATATTGTTATTATTACCCATGAATAATAAATTAAAGAAACTTGTCATAGATTCTCAAGATATCAAGAATATGAAAAGGCTCAACAGGTGATAAAAATTACAGAATGTAATAAATACATTATAAAAAAAAGAATATAGCAATTATTAAAAAAACAAGAATTTATTGATGCTTTAACTCATATTAAGCCAGCCTTCTAGCCTTTTGGGTGTCTACTTGAAAGATCTAGTAACACCCTTTTGGGAGAACCTTATCTATAAAATTGACTGAAAATCAAATATGAAAAAAACTATAAGAAGGTCACAATGAAAGTGGTCCCCAACATGCATGGGGATCTAATAAGTGGTGGGGCATGCATAATTTGTCAGAGAACATTGATCGGTCTTTATTCAAGATAAGTTTTGCTTTGTTATGATGTTGGATTATGAAGAAGAAGGGGAACTACATATAATGGGATTGGGGCACCTGGATTGTTGGCTAGGGTGTTGACAATTGTGTGTGTGTGTGTATGTATATATATATATATATATATATACACACACATACACACATACACACATACATTGTGCATTAGGCAGGAAGTGGGGATCTTATGGAGGAAGAGCGCTATGATTTGTGAAGTGTTGCTGAACAAAGGTAGTCAACCTTCTTTAAATTGAGAGAAGGATGGGTTTGAAAGATGAGACTTTCAGATGTGGGATGAAACCCACACAATAAGAACTATGGTGCCACACTAAGCTGTAAAGACAAAGCATGATATGATACTTGGAGCGTATAACAGAGATGCTATACTTGATATCTCATGGTATCTTGCAATTTTCTTTTCTTTTTCTTAAGTTTTTAATTGTCAACATGATATGATTTTCTTTGTGTGAATTACTTTTTTTAGATACAACCATGAACTTTTGGTGATACCAGTGTTTTAGAACCCAAAGTTAGGTTTGGGACTCCCCAGGGTCCTGAGGCCGAGTCATGCAAATTGACTTGGTGAGTCTCGATAAGACTCAGTTGTGTCATTGTTAAAAAGGCCTTGAAGACCTGAAAATGGGTAGACTCAGGTTAGTCTTGTGAAAAACCACAAGACTCACCAGTATCCCGAGGCAAGTCAACTTTGGAAAGTCTTGAGTTGACTCGCCTAGTTTTTAAATACTGTTTGTAGTGTTTGTGCTTACATTTGTGGTGCATATACTTGCTATTGATGTTCCCATGCATTATCCTGATAATTGCTTCTAGCTGCTGTTCGTGAGAAGTCGTCAAATGGGTACTTGCTGATTGCAACGAGTGGAGGATTGAACCAACAGAGAACTGGGGTAAGTCTTGAAGTTGTTTATTGCTTTAGATTGCCTGCCTTCTATGTTATGAATGTGTCAGAAGAGGCTAATATGTTCTAGTATAATTTGATGGAATGGAGATGCTTGACTGCTAGAGACACCAATTGTATTAGTTTACGTACGGATATTCACGATATGAAGTTTGGCATGCATGCAAGTGATTTAGATGTGAAAGTTCGAAATTGTTGCCCATGAGCACTCTTCCTTTTCATAGTTTCAAAGAAGTATAATATGCTGATATTCTGGAGCAGCATTCCTAGTGGTAGAGTAGAAGTGACGGTTGTATAGAAATGTTGTGACTTTTCATGTTATTGGCATCATATTGCCTTCTTGTTGATCCTCCAAAAGTGTGGGATGCTCCAAAAGAATGGCTGTTGACTTTGAACATGTTTGGGATGTTCACGACATTCAAGTACTAATGGGTGTGACATTGTGCCGAAGCATTGGCTAACAAGTTCACTTCCTTTATCTCATTTGCTTTACAGCGATGATCTCAGAGGGCATGCTTATAGGGAAAGCATGAGTTGGCTTCATGCCCGAGGGAATGGAACCTAAACCGATATTTTTTTTTCCTTCTTTTGAAAAGGAACTTTGGTCTATGTTTTAAGGGACTTTATGTGTCATGTGATTGGCTTATGCAAAGCAGCATCTGAGTGCATCTTACCATGATCCTGCTATAATTTCAATCCATATTTTATATCATTATAATCTAATGGACTGTGGAAAGCAATAATCCATTGGAGTCCTGCCATCTGACGATGTGGTGGACAGTGATGCAGAGGGTAGGGCCCACCAGAACGGGAGTGACTCCAATGGTGGGTCCCACTCCCTCACTGTCCATTATTCGGTGGTGGGGACCCTAATGGACTGGTTTTCCCTAGTCCATTGGATTATAACATACTTTCCTTATAGTAACATCTAGATCTTTGGATGATTGAAAATCGCCCGTGGTTCCTTTTTAACTTACACTGTAATGCTTTCTCATTGAAAACATCTATACACTTCACTGTTACAGATAACAGATGCAGTAGTTGTTGCTCGAATTTTGAATGCCACCCTTGTGGTACCTGAGCTAGATCACCATTCTTTCTGGAAGGATAACAGGTGTGTTGGGAACATAACTTATCTTACTGACGCCAGTAGTTACTGTCAACTTTTATTATGCATTTTTGTAACAGACTATTTCTTCTTGCAGCAACTTCTTCGACATTTTTGATGTTAATTGGTTTATTTCTTCACTTTCAAAAGATGTTACAATTATCAAAAAGATCCCTGATAAAGTAATGAGATCGATGGAGAGGCCTCCTTACACAATGCGGGTCCCACGGAAATCGACATCTGAATATTATTTGGATCAAGTTCTGCCTATACTCCTAAGAAGACGTGTAAGTATGCCATGCAAGAAATAGTGCTTTAATATAGCCATTATTAGGTTTGAGCCCATGACCTTCATTTTGGGCTTTGTTCCTTCTCTTGAAAGTTTAATTTATAGTACTCTGCTATGCCAATACTTGTACAAACTATTATCAGAATGCTCAAGGGTTCATATAAAATGCGAAACTACTTCTGCAAAGTTTATATTTGCAAGGTATCTAGGTTTGCACTTCTAGCTGGCAAGTATCTACCCTGGGTGTGCTCCCTCTCTGTTTTTAACTCTTTCTGGATGACCTCTGACATGGTGATTAGTTTGAGTGGGACTTCAAAAGATAAGAAACTTATATTCCATAGAGCATCTACCTTGAATGGAGAACTAGGATTCATGTAGCCGACCCCAATTAATTGGAAAAAGGGTAAAACGATGATGATGATGAAATCGTTGGGTGCTATGATGATCGTGATCTTCAACAACAAGATCATGGTCATATAATGTGGTAGCATTTATAGCCAAATGTTTTGCTGCTGTGTTTATTTCTTATTCTCCAGCAACGAAAAAGTTTTGGTTTTTGGTTGGTAGAGTTTTCCACACAGAATGAGATTGAAAAGTAATATGGCTTTTCCCTTCCATATCTATTGTTGAGCTCGGTTAACATTTTGGATGTTTGCAGGTTGTTCAGTTGACTAAATTTGATTATAGGCTTGCAAACAACTTGGACAATGAGCTACAAAAGCTCCGTTGCCGAGTGAATTATCATGCATTGAGATTCACAAAGCCAATCCAGGAATTTGGGCAAGAACTTGTCGAAAGAATGCGAAAGATGAGCCCGCATTACATTGCGGTTCATTTGAGGTAATTTCTATAGCATTGATAATCACAAAAAGGGAAGGATTATAATCCATTGTTGTTAAATTCGATATGGAGCCCTGCTTCAGTTTGGGGATTAAAAGCACTTTGGAGACTCAATTGATTTGGAGGAGGACTTCAGGTTTTATTTTTTTAAATAAAAAATGTAAAAAACTCTCATAAGAATGAAAAATCATAAAATTATAAAAAAATTGAGAAAGGTTTTAGAAGTTCAAGAAAATAAGAAAAATAAATATTCTTTTTCAACAAAGCCATTGCATCATCCATGTTTGTACACTGGTCGCATTATTAATGGGAGAAAAGAGATAGAAGCTCTCTAGATTTGAAGATTTAACATATGTGAATATTGGCTTGGAATAAAATATTTGATTGATTTAAATTATTTGAACTTTTTCTTACGATAAGTAACGTTAAAAATGTTTAGAATCTCTCATTTAACTACAAACTAGGAGATATCATTAGAGGGATAGTGAAACTTCTGATGAGAAATAGAAAGTAAGGACAAAGAAAAAACTATTGAGATTGTTGAAATTTAAAACAAAAATTGAAGCACAGTAGTGCTTTGGTCTTACTGAGGTTGCTTTCAGTTGGAGTAAGATACCAAAGGCTTCAGCCTCCTTGGCTGGGCCGAAGTGAGTGAATTCAACAATGCCGCTGTAATCTAATGGAGCAATGGCATGGTCATGGTCCATTAGAGTAGATTCATCACTGTCCACTGGAATTAGGGCAGGTGATGAAAAATGTATGGAGTCATGGGTCAACTGAAACAGGACATTATGGTGGTCTGGCTCTCTCCATGACTTCCATCATTTCCATAGTTGATTGAGTAATAGCATGCTCTCTTAAGAAAAATGAGCAAGTGATATGCTAGAAATGAAGCTTTTGATAGTCAGTTTTGCTTGTTTCTCGTCATGATGCTCCTCTTCCTTATAGCTATTAGAATAGCCCTTCTTTTTCGAGAACTTACACAGCCCAACCATTCTTCAATTAAATCCCTATTAGTTGGAGTTATAGGTACACCTTATTTTATTTGTTGGTAGGCATTATTGTTACAGATAACTTCCTATGAGTTGGGAAACATTTAACATGCTAACAGTTTTAAGATTGCGGCAACACTTTCAGTATATGTTATTTTCAATTGTCAATATAAATCTTAGCATTCTTTTTAGCACAGTTATTTGCCTTGTTTATAAATTGTCAGACTGTTCCTTATTCATGTGTCACTAAAGCAGGTTTGAACCTGATATGCTTGCATTCTCTGGATGCTACTATGGCTGGGGTGACAAGGAAAAGCAGGAGCTGGGAGAGATAAGGAAGCGCTGGGCAACATTACCCGTAAGATTATTGGTCATGTTTTTTCAATTGAAGAGTTCCCTATTTTCCATATTGCTTCCTTTACTTGGATTCCTTCAAATAGAAAATCAAATTCCTTCAAGAGCCACCACTCCTGTTCATGGGAGAAATTTCAGATAAGATATTGGGATGGCTTTGTCCCTCCTCTTTTTGTTTTCTTTTTCTTTTCAATGCCAGAAAAGCAAAAAAAAAAACATTTTCCCCCCATTCTTCCATATTAGTTTCTTGAATAGCACATCCCTTCAAAGAAAAAGCTTAATATTTTATCTTGTGAAACACTAACAAGCTTAAGATTTTATCTTGTGAAGCACTAGCTTAAAATTGATTTGTTTTGTGTGTGCACGCATGTGTGTGTCTGGAGGGAGGGAGGGAATGCAACTAACTTAAAAATTGACTGTTTTTTGTGTGTGAATGTGTGTGAGAGAGAGGGAGGGCAACTAACTTAAAATTTACTGTTTTTTGTGGGTAAATTTGTGTGTGTGTGTGGGTTGGGGGGGGGGGGGGCGGGGGAGGAGGGAGGGAGGGAGTGGAGGGAGGGAGTTTTATACCCGAAAAGAAAGAAGGAAGGGCGGTGGGGGGGGGGCGGGGGCGGGGGGAGGGAGGGGTAGGGGAGGGTAGTGGTGGGAGGGTA